TTTTCAACAAGCGGGTCTGGCCTAGGGAATTTTAGTGGGGCTTTTAAGGGTAATTTTAAGGGTAATTTTAATGATTGGCCTTTTCAAATATTTTCTTTTAATTTGGCTTTTAATATAGATATGTATTGTATTGTGGTTTTATAAGGCTGTTAGCCGCCCTGAGTCCGGTGAGGAGAAGGGCGGGGTACAAATTAAATTAATAATAAATAAATAAATAAATAAAGGTTAACATCAGACCAACAATCAAGTAAACAATACCCCAGTCAAGGAACTGCCACACTAACCAACAGTAAACAGCCCAACCAAAGAATCTTTAAGACCAGCCCCACCAACACTGACAGGGAACAGTAGAATATAAACAAGCAGCCAATCCCACTCCTTACTAACACTGATGATGTTACCTAGTTTGGGTAATGAAACGTCTGCAAGAAAACAATCAAGCACGGAGAGCACCCAGGACCCCTCCCATGTCCTTCTGAGTCCAGTGGAAAATGAATTAAATTTAGAGAGCGTGTCGATGTGGATCCTCACAAATCTTCTGCTTTTCAGGTCTCAAAGTAGACTGGCAAGAAAATGACTTTCAAAAGCGGATCTTGAATGTCCCCCAGGAACTATACGAGAAGGGCTGTGTGACAGACGTGGATCATGGGTTGCGGGTAAGGATGGCCGCGCAACTATCCATATCCATGGAGCTGAACTTTCAGCAATGAATACAACATCCTATGGCAGGGGTCTTCAAACTTGGCCATTGTAAGACTTGTGGACTTCAACTCCCAGAATTCCCCAGCCAACATGGGGAATCCACACATCTTCAAGCTGCCAAGGTTTCCCCAGCCAACATGGGGAATCCACACATCTTCAAGCTGCCAAGGTTGAGAAATACTGCCTTAGATTATATCCTGCTTTTATTTTTGTACAAGTCAATGCAGCATGTGTAATGTTCCTTCTTTCTATTTTCACCGCAAAACCATCCTGTGAAATGGGTTGGGTTAAGAGAGAGGAACTGGCCCAGAGTCCTCCAACTGGCTTTTATGCCTACGGCAGGACTAGAACTCACAGTCTCCTGGCTTCTAATCCAGCACTTTAAGCACTGCACCAAACTGAGTCTTCATAATCGTAAAAGCAGATATAAAGGCATGAAGCGGTTTCCTTACGATAGGCTTCCAATTGGAAAACAGTCCTGCAAGGAAAAAAAAGTTGAATTAGCTGGACCTTTACTTCTCTGTAAAGAGCTGGGGAGAGTAATCTCCAGCAGGCTGTCCAATTTCTAAATTTTAAAACCTTAAGACATGGTGGACAATTCTTAGCCTGCTTGTGATACACAGCCTTACTATTGTTCATCCATCCATCCATCCATCATTTGTTTATCCATAGATCCATTCATCCATCTTGTAGACACAGCCGTTAAGCAAACCGATGTTCACCATGGGTGCAGTTTTGCTGAAAACCAGAAGTAACTGCCGGTTTTCTGCAAAACCGGCATAAAACATGATCATGTGATCGCTGGACGCTACAAACGGCTTTAAATGTAGCCTGATTTGTATTAAATCATGGTTTATCTTACACTATCTACAATATCACACACCAGGAACAATATACATACATGTGCTAATACAGCAGGATCCAAAAAAGCACAATTACAGCAGGAAACGGAAGAGAGAGAACACATCAGCAGAGCCTTCCCTTTATACAAAGGCTCTTAAAGAGATGCAGACCCTGCTGAGACATTCCCATCATTACATTACATCTTACATAAGCTGGTTAGCTGTTAAATCAATACCTTGACACAGGTCATAGTTGTCTCAGAGGTGATTTTTCAAAAAGACAACTGGACTGTTTTTCCTTGAGGAAGAAGAAGATTGTTCACTTCTCCACCCAAGAAGCTTCATCATTGGACCTTGTGAAATAGACGTATCACAAGGGCACACTGAGGCATGCCTACCGCTGCCCGTGCTGCTACATTCTGGACCAGTTGAAGCTTCCAAGTGATATTCAAGGGCAGTCCCATGTAGGTTGCATTGTAATAGTCAAGCCATGAGTGACTAGGGCAGTGATGGCGAACCTTTTAGAGATCGAGTGCCCAAAAACTGCTCCCGCCCTGCCTGCTCCCGCCCTGCCTGCCCCCTGCCCCCCCTGCCCGCAGGGCCATGCACCGCCTCCATGGCCCACCACAGCAGATTGCCCAGGCAGCCCTGTAGCGCCATGGCAGCCACGCCCTCCACCCACACCCCGCAGCATCATCTGCACGCTATGGGGCACGAGGGCGGAGTCTTGCCCTGCTGCCTGGCTATGTCCTTGGCTGTGCTGCTCCGTGCGGGCTGTGCCCAGGGCGACTCTCCTCCAGGAGGGCTGCTGTTGAGGGGGCCGTGGGGGGAGGCGGGGCTGGGGCGATGGCGCATGTGCCCACAGAGAGGGCTCCGAGTGCCGCCTCTGGCACGCGTGCCATAGGTTCGCCACCACTGGACTAGGGCATTGAGTGTCTTAGAACAGAGTTCCCCCAACCTTTCCGGGTTAGTGGCCTGGAAGGGGGGAAGGGGAGAAAGAGGGGATGGTTTTGTGGGAGGGGCAGGCACATCTGCGCGCGTGCACAAGCACCCATTGCTCGTGTGAGGCCGAGAACGCCCGTGACGCTCACGCGAATGGGGCCGTGAGCGCCCGTGACAGACTGATAGGGGGCCGTGGCCCACAGGTTGGGGACCCCATGTCTTAGAGGATTACCCTATTCAGGAAGGGGCAGCTGTGCAAAGGTGTGTTTGGCCACAGTTGTCACCTGCTCTTCAAACAGGAGCCATGAGTTCAAGACAACCCCCAGATTCCACAGCCCTCTTGAATGGAGAACCTGATCCAAAAGTAAAGATAGAAGACCTCTAATTTTTTTTTAAATTTGTCGGCCTTGCTGAATTGTGGAGTGTGATAGGGGCTCGGGCTTTCTTTCTTGCTCCCTGTCCAGAAACTTGAGGACAATTTCCTTTTATCTCCAATAAATCTCATTCATTTATTGCTTTTCTTGTGTTCAGGCTGCCGAAGCGATTGGTTATCCAGTCATGATCAAAGCCTCTGAAGGAGGGGGAGGAAAAGGCATCAGGAAAGTAAACAATGCCGATGATTTTCCCAACCTCTTCAGACAGGTATGTTTCAAAATGTCTTGAAATGCCAAATCTTAGGAAGCACACCCCCCCCCAAGCTTGGAAATGGTTGCTTGGTCGAAGACGTCAGCTCTCTAATCCAGTGCATCTGAACCTTGGCCACTTTAAGATGTGTGGACTTCAAATCCCAGAATTCCCTAGCCATCATGCTGACTGGGGAATTCTGGGAATCGAAGTCTACACACGTTAAAGCATACTCGTCAGGAAACTCTGGCAGTTGACGTTCCATCCCTTAAAGCATGCTGGCCAGGGAATTCTGGGAGTTGGGGTCTGCACACCTTAAAGCCTGCTGGCTGGGGAATTCTGGGAGATGAAGTCCACACTCCTTAAAGCAGGGGTGTCAAACTCAATTTCATTGAGGGCCGCATCAGCTTTGTGGTTGCCCTCAGGGGGCTGGGTGGGTGTGGCCAGGGTGGGTGCGGCCTACTGGGTGGGCGTGGATGGAGTGGGTGTGGTTTCGGCAGGCAGCGGGGCGCTCTCCTCACAGCGCCAAGAGCTGAGCCGGGCGGTGCGAATCTGATGAGAAGTGCAATGCGGCCTAGCCCCCAGCCTGCCCAGTTTTGGCAGGCAGCAAGGTGCAAAGCTGGTGAGCTTCGCACCGCCCAGCTCAACCTCTCGGCGCTGTGAGGAGAGCGCCCCGCTGCCTGCCAAAACCGGGCAGGCTGGGGACTGGGCAGCGTCACGCTTCTTTTTGGATTTGCGCTGCCTGGCTCAGCCTCTCGGCGCTGTGAGGAGAGCGCCCCACTGCCTGCCGAAACCCCTCCCGCAGAGCCCATCAAGCCGGATATGTGAAGTAGGCGAGGGCCATTTGCTGGCCACTTCCAGGCGAAGGTGCATTTCTTCATTCCTCCCAAAGGGGGACCCCTCCCCAGCATGCACCCAGAGGGCGGGGGCCGACGCGGCAGGGGCTGGTTCCTCGCTGTTTCCAGATGTCCTTGTGGAGCTAAGACTGAATACGTTTCAGCATAGATGGCCACCACAAAATTGTACATTGGCTCCCGGCCGGCCTGGGCCAGGGCCAAGGCAGCGGGGGCCGTTCCCTCACTGTTTCCAGGATGGCTTCGCGGGCCACATGAAACCACTTTGCGGGCCGCATCCGGCCCCCGGGCCTTGTGTTTGACATGTCTGCTTTAAAGCATGCTAGCTGGGGAATTCTAGGAGTTGACATCTGCAACTGGGGAAATCTGGGAACTGAAGTCCACATAGCTTAAAGCCTGCCGGCGCAGAATTCTGGGAGTTGAGGTCCATACACCTTAAAGTGTACTAGCTGGGTAATTCCGAAATTGTGGGGAATTCTGGGATCCTCCCTCAGTTCTCATGAAAGTAAAGAGAAGGAGGGAGGAAGCACAATGAAGATTTGCAGTATTCTATTACTGTACTTTAATAATAAAAGTAAAACTGGCCTGTGTAACTTTGGTTTCTAGGCTGCACTGCCGTGAATGATTGACTTTAATCTTGCAACTCAGAATGTGCTCCCTCTCCCCCTTTAATCTTCCTGAGAGCTAGGACAGCTCTTCCTTGAGATGCTTTCTTGGGTTGCATTCTGTTCCAGGCTCAAGTTTCTTTTATCTGACCATTTTCTTGATAACGTCTCTTCTTCCTGTTCCTCAAGGCTAGTCCCTCCTCCCACTACACTGGGTGAACTAATCAGCTGGGGGAAAAAAGCTTTCTCTTAAAGTCTATGGCAGTGATGGCGAACCTTTTAGAGACCGAGTGCCCCAAAACTGCCCCCCACCCCTGTCCCCGCTCCACCCTGCCCACTGGGCCACCCACCACCTCCACGGCCTGCCACAGATCACCCAGACAGCCCAGCAGCGCCATGGCGGCCACGCCCTCCGCCCGTGCCCCACAGCATCATCTGCGCACGACGGGGCGCAAGGGTGGAGTCTTGTTCCCGCTGCCCGGCTACCATGTCCTTGGCTGCACTGCTTCGCATGGGCTGCGCCCAGGGGCGACTCTCCCCGGGGGGGGGGCTGCTGGTGAGGAGGGAGCCGTGGGAGGACGTGGGGCTGGGGAGACTGTGCGTGTGCCCACAGAGAGGGCTCCGAGTGCCGCCTCTGGCACTCGTGCCATAGGTTCGCCACCACTGGTCTGTGGAGAGTCTCAGTCATCCAGGTCATGGTTATCCCAAAGGTGCTTTTTCAAAAGGCAACTGGACTTTTTCCTTGAAGATGTTTCGCTTCTCATCCAAGAAGCTTTTTCTCTTCTAACTGAATGGTGGAGAATGGAAGGATTTACAGTCTATTCCAGTGATGGCAAACCTTTTAGAGACCGAGTGCCCAAACTGCAACCCAAAACTCACTTATGCATCGTCGGGTGCCAGGTGGGCGTGGCCCATTGTGTGTGTGTGTCCAATTGGGTGGGCGTGGCTACGGTGGTAATGGCAAACTGGGTGGGACTAAAAAGTTCAATCAATCAATTCCAACTTTGCAAGATCTTTTTTCCCCGCAAGAAGTTGAAATTGATTGATTGATTGAACTTTTTTTTTTTTTGTACATGGCGGCGGAGGCCTAAAGCGAAAAGGTTTTATAAAACCCAGCTGAAGGCCTAGGACTGGGGCAACGGCACGCGTGCCCAGAGAGAGGGCTCTGAGTGCCGCCTCTGGCACCCGTGCCATAGGTTCGCCACCACTGGTCTATTCCTTGCAGTTATCTGGTCGTTAGCACTCTTTCTGAGAATCCTTGGGGCCATTTGGAGGTATATCTGTCTCTTTCAAAGGATAAAATACCCAGACATAATGTGAGCAATGTGACATATGCAGTACAGTGCAGTGAGACGTTCAGATTTGTACATTGGGGAAACAAAACAACCACTTCACAAACGCTTGGCACAACATAGGACAGGGGTGTCAAACTGCCAGCCTGTGGGCCAGATGCGTCATCCGGAAGCCGCGCCCACCCCATTGCCGGCAATGGCAAAACCGGCCCGATACGTTGCGTGACGTCACGTGACACCCGTGACACAGGAGAACAAACCCATCAGGGTAAGATTCAGCAGTCCATCTGCATTTTAAAGACAAAGGCCACTCTTTCAAAGATAGCAAACTCCACATTTTGGACAGAGCGGACCGCTGGTTTGAAAGAAGGGTCAAAATTGAACAGCCCTCTCTCAACAGAGGGGGAGGGACACGACATCACCCCTCTCCTTTTTACAACACAGTCCTTTCAGCAGTTCCAAGAAGATTCCACACCCATTTGCACCCATTTGACCTAAGAGCACAGATAAACCCCCAAGTGCAGGGGTGTCAAACTCAGTTTCATTGAGGGCCGAATCAGCATTGCGGTTGCCCTCGGGGGGGGTGTGTGGCCAGGGTGGGTGCGGCCTACTGGGTGGGCATGGAGTGGGTGTGGCCTATTGGGTGGGCATGGCCAGCTGTACATCGTTCTTGTCAAGGGTGCCTGGGGGCCTGGGCAGGAGTGAGACAGATCTGAGGGTCTCTGGCAGAAGGGGGTGGGACCGGGGCAAGGGCCAAGGCATGGTCCACTGGAGGAGCCTCACTGTTTCTCTCAGGCCATGCGGGGGGGAGAGGGGCTTATGGAGCTAAGATTGAACGCCTTTCAGCATAGATGGCCACCACAAAATTGTACATTGACTCCCGGCCGGTCTGGGCCAGGGCCAAGGCAGCGGGGGCTGTTCCTTCACTGTTTCCAGGATGGCTTCGCGGGCCACATGACACCACTTCACGGGCCGCACCCGGCCCCCGGGCCTTGTGTTTGACATGTCTGCCCAAGTGGCCTCAGTGACTCTCAGATGGCTGCAAGGAATATAAATCCTTCCATCCTCCACCATTCAGTCAGAACTGAAGAAGCTTCTGGGACGAGAAGTGAAGCATCTTCAAGGAAAAACAAAGTCCAGTTGCCGTTTGAAGAAGCACCTTTGGGACTTTTTCTTAACGGCTTTTGAACATGGCAAATACACTTCTCTGCTAAAAATCCAGTTGCTCGGTCACCGCCTGCTTGTGTGTGTCACTCTCAGGTACAAGCTGAGGTGCCCGGCTCACCGATCTTCGTGATGCGTCTGGCCAAGCAATCCCGCCACCTTGAGGTCCAGATCCTGGCGGACCAATATGGCAATGCCATCTCCCTCTTCGGCCGAGACTGCTCCGTGCAGCGTCGGCATCAGAAGATCATTGAGGAAGCCCCAGCATCTATCGCAACGTTGGCTGTCTTTGAACATATGGAGCAGGTAGGTGGGAATTCTGCCTTTGAGAGGGGAGAACGGTAGCCCACTCCTCTCGTTTATGGTGAAAGAGTCAGAATTAGTTGGTCGTTGCTGCTACAGGCAGTCCTCGACTTACAACAGTTTGTTGAGTGACTTACAGCAGTTTGTTACGTTTGAAATTACAACAGCACTGAAAAAAGGTGACTTACGACCATTTTTCGCACTTAAGAACCACTGCAGCATTTCCCTCAAAATTGAGACGCTCGGCAACGGACTCTATTTAGGACGGTTGCAGTGTTCCAAGGTCACGTGATCTCCTTTTGCGACCTTCTGACAAACAAACTCCATAGGGAGACCAGATTCACTTAACAACTGTCTTATTAACTTAACAACTGCAGTGATTCACTTAACAGCCGTGTCAAGAAAGGTCGTAAAATGGGGCAAAACTCACTTAACAATTGTTTCGCTTAGGCAGTGGAAATTTGGGGCTCAATGGCGGTCGTAAATCGAGGACTACATGTATTGTATAAATAAAACTTAGAGAGAGATCAATATGTGAGTGGCGGGCCAACGTCCACCACGTTGCCTTTAGGATCTCTGACATACTCAGTTGAGCGTCTTTGAAATGTGATTGAGAAAAAAAAGAGGATTTTGAGAAACCCACAATACTGCACTCGCACAACACATTTAACTAGGTGAGTGAAAGATTTGGCAAAGGCATTCATACAACATGCCGAGCTGGTTCTGTCTCTGTCTTGCTTTGGTTTTGTGAGTGGGAGTAACTTAGTCTGTTATGTAGGTTAAGCCTCTTTGATTCATTTAAGGTTCAGAGTATTGCACCAAAAATGGATTAACTCAGTAACCTGATTAAATGTGTGTGAAGAACACAACTAATCTTCAGTCCGGAATGAATCTGATTAGCTCCCTAAATTTTATAAAGACTGTGGCTACTGTGCATGAATAAACAATGGCCTCATAATCAATCTTGAACAGTGTATCTCAACCTAAAACATATAAGGAACGGCTGCTGGAATTGGGAATGTCTAGTCTAATGAAGAGAAGGACGAGGGGGGACATGATAGCAGTATTCCAATATCTCAGGGCCTGCCACAAAGAAGAGGGGCTCAACTTATTCTCCAAAGTGCCTGAAGGCAGGACGAGAAGCAACGGATGGAAACTAACAAGGAGAGAAGCAACCTAAAACTAAGGAGAAACTTCCTGACAGTTAGAACAATTAACCAGTGGAACAACCTGCCACTGGAAGTTTTAAAGAAGAGACTAGACAGCCATTTGACCAGAATAGTATAGGGTCTCCTGCTTGAGCAGGGGGTTGGACTAGAAGACCTCCGAGGTCCCTTCCAACTCTACTATTCTGTGTTCTTGCACCCAGAAATTGATGAGTCAGAATGCCACACCTACTCAGCCAAATGATCTTATGAAGTTGTTTTGGTTCAAAATATGTCTTGACCGTTTTGATGCAAGCCTTTCTTTCTTTTTCAGTGTGCCGTGAAGCTCGCCAAGATGGTGGGCTACGTCAGTGCCGGGACGGTGGAATATCTTTACAGCCAGGATGGGAGCTTTTACTTTTTGGAGCTAAACCCTCGGCTGCAGGTCGAGCATCCTTGTACAGAAATGGTGGCTGACGTGAACCTGCCTTCTGCTCAACTCCAGGTAAGGCGAGAAGACCTGGTGGGAAGGACGAAGCTGGTTGCTAAGCACTTCAGCTGGAATAACCAGTTTTCCCAAGATCTTGAGCCAGGTGGGAAGAGTTTTTTTGGGATTTGTTCCATATGTTGCAAGAAGTGAGTCCTGAACTTGGAACAAGATCAGCATGCTGATAAGGCCAGGGATGAGTTCTGGCTTTGGAAAGTGAAGTATTGCATTATGCAGGTGAAAAAAAAAACAACACACACACAAAACTCTCCCTTGTTGTTTTGAAATGGGAGGCTGTGTTTTCAGACGAGGGGAACATTTTGGTACTCGGTGTTTAAATCGGTGTGTAATGGAGGCGAACTTCAGTTTGCAGAGGGATTATGAGTTTCTGAAGACTTTCTTCGGTTAAAATGCAGCTGTTGTGCTTTTATAAAAGGCTGGGAACCCTTGAGGGACTTTTTGCTGGAAATGGAAACAAAGTGAAGTGAGGATTTATAGTTCTGACACTTGAAAAAGGATTAAATAAGGGAGTAAAGGGATTTTTATAATACCAAGAGGGAGAAAGGATAATGAGTTTGATTATAACTGCTGAAAAAAAAATCAAAAGTTGCTTATTTCTTTAACTACAGTATTTTTCTTTTCCTCTTATTCTGTTTTTCCTTTCCTTTCCTTCTTCCCTTCCCGCCCCTTTCCTTTCCTTTCCTTTCCTTTCCTTTCCTTTCCTTTCCTTTCCTTTCCTTTCCTTTCCTTTCCTTTCCTTTCCTTCTTCCCTTCCCCCTTTCCTTTCCTTTCCTTTCCTTTCCTTCTTCCCTTCCCGCCCCTTCCCCATTTCCTTTCCCTTTCCTTTCCCTTTCCCTTTCCTTCCTCTTTTTTCTTTACATTTGCTTTACATTTGTAACCTTTATGTAAATTTCTCAGTAAAAAAAGATAATAAACGATAACAAAAAAGGACAATAAACCTGTGTTGTGCATCCTGGTTAAGAAAGTAAAGGGTTTCCTGTTTGATATTTATTTCATTCTTTCATTTATTTATATGCTTTCATTTCTACGCCCATAATAATGATAACCAGAGAATTCTGAACAAGTACAGATCATTATTATAGTTTGTTCTAGTTGTACACCACCAAATCAGTAAAGACTCATGGCAGGATATAACTGTACAGATAAAAAAAAAACCATGCAATCAAAGCATTGCCTGTTGACAAAATCCTAGATTTTTTAAAAACCCTTTAAAAAAGCAGATTACCTTTGCATTTCTCTTCTTTCACCATCAATAAGAGTTTCCTTAAGTCTTCTTTGTCATCAACTATCAAAGTAGCATCATCAGCACATTTGAAGTTAATGATGTGCCAGCAACAATTCCATTTCTTCTAACCTAGCATTTCCCCGTAATATATTCTGCAATGGAAGTTAAATAAGTAAGAAGACCATATACAACCTCGGCACATTTTTCCATTTTGTACCCTTTCCGTTGCTCCATACAGGTAGTCCTCGAGTTACGACCACAACTGAGCCCAAAGTTTCTGTTGTGAAGTGAGACATTTGTTAAGTCCCATTTTACAACCTTTCATGCCACAGTTGTTAATTGAATCACTGCAAGTTAGTAACACGGTTGTGGAGTGAATTTGGCTTCCTCCATTGACTTTGCTTGTCAGAAAGTCACAAAAAGCGATCACATGATCCTCAAAAGACTGCCACCGTCATAAATATGAGTCGCTTGCCAAGGATTTGAATTTCGATTCACCATGGAGATGCTGCAGTAAGTGTGAAAAACGGTCATAAGTCACTTTTTTCAGTGTTGTTGTCACTTCGAATGGTCACTAAATGAACTGTTGTAAGTTGAGGACTATTCTAGTCTGACTCTCATTTCTTGGCCCTCATACACATTTTCCAATAGGCAGGTTAGTAGGCCTATTTTCAATGGCTCTCCACAAATTGTTGTGGCTTAGAACAGGGGTAAGCAACCTTGGCTCTTTTATGACTCGTGGACTTCAATTCCCAGAATTCCTGAGCCAGCCATGCTGAGGGGAAAGGGAGAGGTTGCCATGCTGAGCCATGCTGGCTCAGGAATTCTGGGAGTTGAAGTCCACGAGTCATAAAAGAGCCCAGGTTGCCTACCCCTGGGCCTAGACGATCAAAAGCCTTCGTGTAATTAAACATCTCTCTCTCCCTGAGCACTAAACTTTATTTCTGACTGAAAATAAGGGTGGAAATCTCTTTCAGTCCGGTTTCAAAAGCATTCTGCGATCTACCAATAAAAGCCCAAAAACTGTCTTTCAAAAATCTAGAACCTTTAAATTGGTCGATGAAAGGTCTCCACAAAATATATCAGGAAATTATCACTATTGGTGATGGACTGATTGATTTAAAATTCCCTTGCTGGCTGGGAAATTATGGGAGTTGAAGTCCACATATTTTAAAGTTGCCAGAGTTGAGAAACACTGATTTAAAGAATTTATACAGGAAGATTTTTTTTCATTCACTTTTGTTTAGTGATTGTTCAAAGTTACAATGGCCCTGGAAATAGTTACTTGTGACCATTTTTCACATTTAATGACCGTTGCAGCATCCACATGGTCAGGTGATCAGAATTTGGACAATTGGCAACTGACTCATATTTATGACAGTTCCCAGATACACTTAACAACCGCATTACTAACTTAGCAACTGGTAGTCATTCACTTAACAATTGGGGCAAGTAGGCTTATAAAATGGGAGAAAAGTCACTTAATAACTATCTTGCTTAGCAACAGATATTCTGGGTTCAATTTATAGAATAGAATAGAGCTGGAAGGACCTTGGAGGTCTTCTAGTCTAGCCCCCTGCTCAAACAGGAGAACCTAAACCATCTCAGACAAGTGAATGTCTAGCCTCTTCTTAAAAATTTCCAGTGATGGAGCACCCATGATTTCTGGTGGCAAGCTGTTCCAATGGTTGATTGTCCTCACTGTCAGGAAGTTTCTCCTTAATTCCAAGTTGCTTCTCTCTTTAGTCAGTTTCCAACCATTTTTTCTCGTCCTTCCCTCTGGTGCTCTGGTGAACAACCTGGCCCCCTCTTCCTTGTGGCAGCCCCTCAGATACTGGAATACTGCTATCTTGTTCCCTATTTCTTCTTTAGACTAGCCAAACCCAAGTCCCGCAGCCGTTCTTCGTATGTTTTAGTTTCCAGGCCTTTGATCCTCTTAGTTGCTCTTCTCTGAATTTTTTCCAAACTCTCAACATCTTTTTTGTGATATGGTGACCAAAATTGTTGTCATAAGTTGAGGATTACCTGTAATGCTGAGAAAATAGACTCCATAATCAGAGTCTTGATTAATACTTACAGATCTTTTAAGTTGTTCTAGAAATGAGAGAGAGAGACAAGAAAACACAACACAGATGCTGGGACACTTATGCTTAGTGGTGACATTGGAAGTTCTTTCTATTGTATACCTAATATGAAAAGGGCTATATTTTCCTTTTTTTCCCCCCAGATTGCCATGGGAATTCCTCTCCACAGGATCAAGGATATCCGGATCATGTATGGGGCTTCCCCCTGGGGGGATACCCCTATTGACTTTGATAGCTCGGCCCATGTGCCTTGTCCGCGGGGTCATGTGATCGCAGCCCGTATCACCAGTGAGAACCCTGATGAGGTGAGTCTTCTTATATCTGAGCCAGTTTGGCCTAGTACAGGGGTAGGCAAACTTGGCTCTTTTTATGACTCGTGGACTTCAACTCCCAGAATTCCTGAGCCAGCTATGCTGGCTCAGGAATTCTGGGAGTTGAAGTCCACGAGTCATAAAAGAGCCACGGTTGCCTACCCCTGGCCTAGTGGTTAAGGCACCGGGCTATAAAACAGGAGGCCATGAATTCAAGTCCCATCTTTGTCATGAAAGCCAGCTGGATGACTTTGGGCTAGTCCAGTGGTTCTCAACCTTTTTAATGCCACGACCCCCAACCGGTCGTAAGTCGAGGACTTTCCCTGCCCGGGAGCGCCGCGCATGCGTGGTTCCGCCCCCTGCGCCGGCCGAGGCGTAGCTGGCAAGCGGCAGAGACGGAGCAGGCCGACCACCAGCTGGCCCAGCCCAAGGGAGGTAAGGCACCCGCCGGAGAAGGGGGAAAAAAATGGCGGACAGCCTTGCTTGGCGACCCCCATGAAATGGTCGATCGACCCCAAATGGGGTCACGACCCATAGGTTGAGAACCGCTGGGCTAGTCCCTCTCTCTCAGCCCAACCCACCTCACAGGGGTGTTGTTGTGGGGAAAATAGGAGAAATAAAGTGTATTGAATTTGTTTGCCACTTTGACTTATTTGCAAAGATAATAATGGTGGGATCACTTTCTCTCTGCCCAACTCACCTTGCAGGATTGTTGTTATGGGGAAAACAAGAAGAGGAAAGTGTATTGGATATATTCACTGGCTTGAATTATTTGTAAAAATAATGAAGGTGGGATACAAATCAATATAAATGTATAAGAAGTGCAGTGATGGCTTGACTATAGACCAGTGATGGCGAACCTTTTAGAGACCGAGTGCCCAAACTGCAACCCAAAACCCACTTATGCATCGTCGGGTGCTGGGTGGGTGTGGCCCATTGGGTGGGTGTGGCCCATTGGGTGGGCGTGGCCCATTGGGTGGGCGTGGCTGCGGTGGTAACAGCAGACTGGGTGGGACTAAAAAGTTCAATCAATCAATTCCAACTTTGCGAGATCTTTTTTTTCCGTGAGAAGTTGAAATTGATTGATTGATTGAACCTTTTTTTTTTTTTTTTTGCACACGGTGGCAGAGGCTGAAAGTGAAAAGGTTTTATAAAACCCAGCTGAAGGCCTACGACTGGGGCGGTGGCGTGCGTGCCCAGAGAGGGCTCTGCGTGCCACCTGTGGCACGCGTGCCATAGATTCGCCACCACTGCTATAGACCATTCCCCCAGGAGAAATAAGGCTGGATTGATGGATGGATGATGCTGCCCATCTCACTGTTGAAGTGACTCTGGGTGTCTTACAAAATGATAAAAAGATATCCCAAAGATGCTTTTTCACGAGGCAACAGGACTTTCTTGTTTTCCTTTGAAGAAGTTTCACTTCTCATCCAAGAAGCTTCTTCAGTTCAAGAAAGTCCAGTTGCCTCGTGAAAAAGCGTCTTTGGGACAACTATGATCTGGATGGCTGAGAATCTCCATAGACATTGATAAAAAGATAATACAAAACGATTAAAATTAAGAAGATTCAATAAGGTAAACAAACCAAAGGGACAGAAGACATGAGGTTATCTACCCTATCAGTCAGGTTTTAAGCCTCTTCCAAAAGATCAAGAGTGTGGGGGTCAATCTCCCCTCCATTGGGAGAATATTCCAGAGGGTGGCGGCCATAACAGAAAAGGCTCGTCCCCTGGACCCCGCCAGCCAAAATTCTTTGTTAGATGGGATCCTAGTAGGCTTCTTCCAATGGAGCAAGTGGGATGGGCCAATCCCTTTGGTACAAGCTGGATCCTCAGGTAGTCTGGACCCATGCCATAAAGAGCCTTAAATGTAATAATAGCCATCACCTTGAATTGGACCCTGAAGCAACAGGGATATTACATGTTGTCAAAGTATTGATTTAGCAGCTAACCAGTTTATGTAATGTAAGATGTAATGATGGGAATGACTCAGCAGGGTCTGTGTCTCTTTAAGAGCATTTGAATAAAGGGAAGGCTCCGCTGATGTGTTCTCTCTCTTCCATTTACTGCTGTAACTGTGGTTTTTTTGGATCCTGCTGTATTAGCGTGTATATGTATATTGTTCCTGGTGTATGATATTGTAGATAGTGTAAGATAAACCACCATTTACTATAGACCTCCATTTACTGTGTTTACTCCTGGGTTATCTCGCGCAATAACATGTTCTGACACATGTGCCACCCTAGGTGCCCCTAGAAATATTGGTGAAGCTATATTCTGTACCAGTTGTAGCTTTCGAATAGTCTTCAAGGGTAGCCCCATGTAGAACGTATTAAATGACTATTTCAAAATTAGCTCAGTTCCTGGGGACTTTATGAATTCACTGCTCTGATTTTTCTATCTTCTCCACAATCTTCTTTTTTGACATTCCTGTTTAAACTAAAGTCACTGAATTCTTCCCACTGAAAAGGATATGACCCTACCTTACTCACTCACCTAAGGGCATTCTTGTCACTATTAATTGTTTTAAAAATGTCCCAATGAGGAGCAAGATGATCAGTGGTCACGGGAAAGGGAAAGGGAATGGATTTCTTTGAAGAATACTTTCATGTGTCTACAATGGTTATACATATTATGTTGCGCCTGAGAAATAGGATTAATAAAGATATGGAACAGTGTTTCTCAACCTCATCACCACGAAGATGTGTGGACTTCAACTCCCAGAATTTCCAGGGGAATTTTGGGTTGAAGTCCACACATATTAAAGTTGCTGACTGGGGAAAGCTGGGAATTGAAGGCCACCCATCTTAAAAGTTGCTGAGGTTGAGAAACACTAATGTAGAATCCTGGAATGTGTTTTTCTTGCCCATTTTAAAATGACTTTTAAAATGAATAATTCCAGTACGATCATTGGATATGAGTGTGTGTGTGTTTAAAAAATAATGTTCCCTTTTATATTCCAGGGATTTAAACCCAGTTCTGGAACAGTTCAAGAACTGAACTTTCGCAGTAATAAGAACGTCTGGGGTTATTTCAGCGTTGCTGCTGCAGGAGGCCTTCATGAATTTGCAGACTCTCAGTTTGGCCACTGTTTCTCGTGGGGAGAAAACCGTGAAGAAGCCATCTCGTAAGTAAGAAGGAAGAGTGAAAAATACTTCCTTTTTCTTCTCTTGATTTCTCTGCCGATTTCAGAAGAACCGGGTGGCTTGATCTCCTTTGGCTTAGTTGCCTGCATGGAGTTATATTTTACAGATAGTCCTCGACTTACAAGCATTTGTTTAGTGCAGGGGTAGGCAACCTTGGCTCTTTTATGACTCGTGGACTTCAACTCCCAGAATTCCTGAGCCAACCATGCTGAGGGGAAAGGGAGAGGTTTCCATGCTGAGCCATGCTGGCTCAGGAATTCTGGGAGTTGAAGTCCACGAGTCATAAAAGAGCCAGGGTTGCCTACCCCTGGTTTAGTGAATGTTCACAGTTACAATAGCACTGAAAAAGTGACTTATGACTGGTCCTTCCACTTATGACTGTTTCTGCATCCCCATGGTCACGCCATCAAAATTCGAATGCTTGGCAACTGGCCTGTACAGGCAGTCCTCGACTTACATCTGCAATGAAGCCCAAAATTTCTGTTGTTAAGTGAGACATTTGTTAAGTGAGTTTTGCCCCATTTTTACAACTTTTCTTGCCACAGTTGTTAAAGTCAGTCACTGCAGTTGTTAACTTAGTAACCCAGTTTTAAGTAAATCTGGGTTCCCCATTGATTTTGCTTGTCAGAAAGTCGCAAAAGATGAAGTTGGGATACAGCAACAGTCGTAAATATGAACCCGTTGCCAAGCACCTGAATTTTTATTACACGATTATGGGGAGGCTGTAAAGGTTGTAAAATGTGAAAAATGGTCATAACCCACTTTTTTCAGTGCCATTGTAACTTTGAATGGTCACTAAATGAACTGCTGTAAGTTGAGGACTACCTGTATGCATGACGGTTGCAGCATCATGTATGACGATTGCGGCATCCCAGAATCATGTGATCGCCATTTGTGACCTCAGCTGACTTCTGACAAGAAAAGTCAATGGGAGAAGCTGAATTTGCTTAAGGCCCACATGATTCATTGAACAACTGCAGTGATTTACCTCACAACCATGGCAAAAAAGGTAATAAAATCACATCAAGATCACGTGAAGTGTTAATACCACTTTACAATGTCTTGGTAAGGCCACAGTTGGAATACTGCATCCAGTTTTGGTCACCACGATGTAAAAAAGATGCTGAGACTCTAGAAAGAATGCAGAGAAGAGCAACAAAGATGATCAGGGGACTGGAGGCTAAAACATATAAGGAACGGTTGCTGGAATTGGGTCTGTCTAGTTTAATGAAGAGAAGGACGAGGGGGGACATGATAGCAGTGTTCCAATATCTCAGGGGTTGCCCCAAAGAAGAGGGAGTCAAGCTATTCTCCAAGGCGCCTGAAGGCAGGACAAGAAGCAACGGATGGAAACTAATCAAGGAGAGAAGCAACTTAGAACTAAGGAGAAACTTCCTGACAGTTAGAACAATTAACCAGTGGAACAACCTGCCTCCAGAAGCGGTGAATGCTCCAACACTGGAAGTTTTTAAGAAGAGACTGGACAGCCATTTGTCTGAAATGGTATAGGGTTTCCTGCCTGAGCGGGGGGTTGGACTAGATGACCTCCAAGATCTCTTCCAACTTTATTATTATTATTATTATTATTGATCATCGCACAGTCAGCCAGATGTTCAGACTGGATTTGGCATTTTGTCTACCTATGGAGTCCTTACCCAGGACCCTGGGATAGGCAGATGTATTATTATTATTATTATTATTATTGTTGTTGTTGTTGTTGTTGTTATACCTCACTTAACAACCACCTTCCTTAGCAATGGGAATTCTGGTCCCAATGGTGTCATAAGTCGAGGACTACTTGTACCCATTGAATGCAGTTATCACTAAGGTAGACAAAAGTAGTCCTCGATTTACAACAATTCGTTTAGTGACCGTTTGAATTACAGTGGCACTGACAAAAATGACTTACGACCGTTTTTCACACTTAACGACCGTTGCAGCATCCCCCCCCCCATGGTCACATGATCAAAATTCAGGTGCTTGGCAACTGGGTTCATATTTATGACCACTGCAGTGTCCCGGGATCATGTGATCTCTTTGGGGGACTTTGACAAGCAAAGTCAATGGGGAAGCCAGATTCACTTAACACCCCTGTTACTAACTGAGCAACTGCAGTGATTCACTTAATAACTGTGACAAGAAAGGTCATAAAATGGGGCAAAAATTCACTTAACAACCGTCTCGCTTAGGAACAGAAAATTTGGGGCTCAGTTGTGGTTGTTAAGTCGAGGATTACCTGTACTGAGGTAGTTTTTAAATAAAGGATCTTGCTATAGACCTCTGAGGGGCCAGGAACTGGATGGGGCCTCCAGGTTGGAAGAAGTGTAAAAGATGGTTTGGTGATCTTCTCCAGTTTATTCGCAGACTTGACTGCCTTTGTTTACATCTTCAGAAACATGGTTGTGGCTCTGAAGGAGCTGTCCATTCGGGGAGACTTCAGAACCACCGTGGAGTACCTGATTAAACTGCTTGAAACGGAAAGCTTTCAGCACAACAGCATTGACACTGGTTGGCTGGATCGACTCATCGCTGAGAAAGTGCAGGTAATCTTCTTCTGGCACAGAAAGGGATGAAATACTGTATATCCGAAAAGAAAAACCTGCGGCATTTTAATGTGAATTATCTGTCTGTATGAGTGTGCTAAATAGATCTGATTCTACTGACAGAAGAGAACCTTTGTAGCTCAGGATTGAACTGTGGGGACCTGGGTGCTCTCTGAGTTTGGTGGCTTTAATGCAGATGTTTCGTGACCCAACTAGGTAACATCATCAGTGATAGAAGGGAGTGGGGTTTGCGGGGGAGGAGGAGAGGAGGAGGAGGAGGAGGAGGAGGAGGAAGAGGAGGAGAACTGTGGGGACCTGGTGCTTTTTGAGCTTGGTGGCTTTAATGCAGATGTTTTGTGACCCAACTAGGTAACATCATCAGTGATAGAAAAGAGTGGAGTTTGTGGGGGGGGAGAAGAAGGAGGAGGAGGAGGAAGAGGGGACCTTGGTGCTCTCTGAGCTTGGTGGTTTTATTTCAGACATTTCTTGACCCAACTAGGTAACATCATCAGTGATAGAAGGGAGTGGGGTTTGCGGGGGTGAAGGAGGAGGAGGAGGAGGAGGAGGAGGAGACTACTGTGGGGACCTTGGTGCTCTCTGAGCTTGGTGGTTTTATTGCAGACATTTCTTGACCCAACTAGGTAACATCATCAGTGATAGAAGAGAGTGGGGTTTGCTTTCTGTTTACATGTAAGTGCCTCGCTCTGCCAGTGTTGGTGGAAGTGTTTCTCATGGTTCCTTGACTAGGCTGT